TTCTCTGTCTAGCTGACGCAGAGGAGGGGCCCCACAAGCAGCAGCAGCAGCAGCAGCAGCAGCAGCAGCAAGAGGGGGAGGGGGAGAAGGAGCAGCAGCAGCAGCAGCAGAGGCAGCAGCAACAAGGAAAGGGAAGAAGAAGAAAAGGAAGAAGATAAATATTTTATTGTGTATGTTTATATAATAAAATAAAATAAATATAATTATATTTTATATTTATATTTTATATAAATATAAAATAAAATAAATAAATTGTAAAATTAATTATTTATTTTCTTATTTTTATTATATTTATAAACAAACCACAAACAAACAAACAAACAAAAAACATGGGGGCCCCCAAAGGGTACTAAAGCAGGGGGGCCCCCCATACAAATGCCTCAGCCACATAGAAGGGGGTTATCAACACCTCTGTAAGGGGGCCCCCTATGAGTTGTATAGGGGGGCCCCCAGCACCTCTCTAGGGGGGCCCCCAACACCTCTATAGGGGGGCCCCTATAAGCCCTATAGGGGGGCCCCCAACACCTCCATAGGGGGGCCCCTATAAGCTCTATAGGGGGGCCCCTATATCCTCTCTATGGGGGCCCCTATAACGTCTATAGGGGGGCCCCTATAGCCTTTATGGGGGGGCCCCCAAGGCGTCTATAGGGGGGCCCCTGTGAGCTGTATAAGGGGGCCCCTGGCAGTTGTTGCTGCTGTTGTTCTTTTCCTCATCATACTGAAGGGGTTGTTGCTGTCGATGCATGCATAAACAAACCCTTTAGGGGCCCCCAACAACCTTAGTGGGGGGCCCCCATCAGTATAGTGTATAAGGGAGCCCCCAACAGCACAACAGGGGGCCCCCTAGGTTGCGTGATAGGGGGCCCCCTTGGAGGCATAATAGGGGGCCCCCATGAAATATAATAGGGGGGCCCCCAACAGTATAACAGGGGGGCCCCCAGGAGACTTATTGGGGGGCCCCTGATGCAGAGGTGAATACTAAACCCTCTAGGGGCCCCCCAGGGGCCCCCAGGGGCCCCCAGGGTTTCTTGTGCGGTTGCTTGGGGACCCCTAAGCTGAACCTTCATATTAATTAATTGTTGTCTTTTTTCTGCTGCTGTCTCTGGGGCTACATGCTGCTGCTGCTGCTGCTGCTGTTGCTGCAGTTACTGTCATTAGTGCTGCTGCAATTGCTGCCGCAGCAGCAGCAGCTGCTGCTGCTGTTGCTGTTGCTGTTGCTAATGTTGTTACTGTCACTGCTGCTGCTGCAATTGCTGCTGCTGCTGCTGCTGCTGCTGCTGCTGTTCCTGCTGCTATTGCTGCCGCTACTACTGTTCCTGCTGCTGCTACTGTTGCTGCTGCTGCTGCTACTATCACAGTCCCTGCTGCTACTACTACTGCTGCTACTTCTGCTGCTGCTGCTGCTGCTGCTGCAGCTGCTGCTCATGTGTGTATACTACACTTTGTAGACAAACACGGAAATAATAAAAGCAGAATTTCCTCAAGACAAACATTTTCCTCATTGGGGCCTCGAGGGGCCCCTGGGGGGCCCCTTGGGGGCCCCCCAGGGGGGCCCCCCCACACCACCAATAAAGACAAATGATGTTTCTGCGCCAGCATACCCTTTAAACTAACAAACAAATCAAACCCTGGGGGCCCCCCAATGGGGGGGGCCCCAATGAAGGGGGCCCCCTCATGGGGGCCCCCCATATAAAGGAATCATAACAACGAGACAATGCAAAAAAGTAGCGGCCTAAAGCTGCATATACAGAGGGGCCCCCCAGGGGGGCCCCCCCAAGCAAGGGGCCCCCTCAGGGGGGCCCCCTCAAGCAGGGGGCCCCCTCAGGTGGGCCCCCTCAAGCACAAGGGGCCCCCCTCATGGGGGGCCCTACATGTGCCTTTCCCCGCCCTCCCGGGGGCCCCCCAGGGGGGACCCCACTTATGGGGGCCCCCAGAGGGGGCCCCCCAATGGGGGGCCCCAATAGATAAAAAATAAACCCCAGGTGGGGGGCCCCCTAATATAAAAGAAGAGAAGGTATTGCAGTGTATAGGGAGATGAGAATGTTAGTTTGTGTATATATTAATGTTTATTTATATTTATATTTATATTATATTTGTTTTATTTATTTATTTATTTATTTATTTTATTTTATTTATTTAATTTTGTATCCCCAATACCTGCGGAGCTAGGGGGGCCCCCAGGGGCCCCCCCGTAATATGTTGC